GTTTCGTTGAACTCCTCTCCCCACAAAGTGTGATTTCCCTTGGTATATAATAATAATAATAATAAATGGGCTTTATTCATTGACATACATTGTTTATAAAGAAGAATCAAATACAAAAATCAATGAAAGGGCGAAGTTCAAATGAGGCTGTTTTATATAGAAATATAAAAATAATAACCTAGTATACATTGGTAAGTGGTAGTTCATGAATCTTTGTGAGACTGAGGAAAAAACAAAGGTTATAAATGACAAAGTAAATATTAAAAATCTATTAAGCTTCAATAAGGTAAAATATACAGCAAAACATACACAAAGGTGACAGAAAGGGAAAACCATATGAGCAAGGCATAACATGAATATATTATCGATCTAGAAGACTTCAGATATGTTTTCTGCTTTTTCTTAAAATTATATATGGAATAGTGTCTAAATTCACTGGGCAGAGCATTATAGTATTGTTTGATTGAGTTGTAAATAAAACTATGAGAAAAGCAGGCTGTCGAGTGTTTTGGAATAATAAAAGTGTGACGGTTTCGTGCCCTCGAATCATTCTGTGATATGAAAGTTTTATATCTTTCATAAATATAATTTGGCCTTTTGTAAATGAGGAATTTATGTGTATTGACGAGTAGGTGGAACTGCCAGGTTTCAGCAATCGGTAACCAACCTGACCCCTCGAACTTGGGGGATATATGGTCGAATTTTCTCACACCATAAGAAAGACGAATGCAATTGTTTTGTATTTTTTGTGAGCGATTCACATCAGTTTGTATCAAAGCAGGCCCGTAGATTTTATCGCAATATGCTAATCTTGACAATATGAGGGTTTCGCAAAGTTTCAACTTCAATTTGGAAGTCGTAATATTTCTACTTTGATAGAGTTGACGTAAGATACTGTATGAGCTACGACAAAGTGAATTTATATGTTTGTGAAATCTCAGATCAGCATCAAGCATAAACCCAAGTTCTTGCTTTCTGTAATTGTTTGTAGTAAGTCTTGTCCAAGTTGGATTTCAATACTTCCTTCAATTTCCCGTCTTTTGTGTTTCGGGCCATAAAGTATCAGCTGAGATTTTTTAGAATTCAATTTCAGGTTATGGGCTATAGATAGATCCAGTAACTTTTGTAGATCGCTGTTAATTTTTTCCATTGCCACCTGCCAGTTACTTAAAGGAAATCGATAATATAACTGAGTGTCATCTGCATAATGATGAAATGTGCAATGATCAATTATTTTATGAAAGTCAGATATATATAGAGAGAACAGAATGGGGCCAAGGATAGAGCCCTGAGGTACTCCATAGTCAACAGATAAAGCACTAGAACACTTTCCACCCAGACATACTGACTGAGTCCGATTTTTGAGGTAACTTTTAAATAGATTTACAGTCCCTTCACTGAATCCGAGAAATGATATTTTCCTACACAGAATATTGTGGTCCAAAGTATCGAATGCTTCATTGTAGTCCAAGAGTACCACGGCAGTTGCTTCATTATTATCAGTTGCTTTGAATAAATCTTGGGTGATGTTGACAAGAGCGGTGGTGGTGGTGCTATAGAATGTACGAAATCCAGATTAAACATTTGTTATTAAATTAATATTGTTTACAAAAAAATCAATTTCATCTTTCAGAATCCGCTCGAATACCTCAGATAGGATAGGCAGTTTGCTAATTGGCCTCAAATGAGATAATTCAGTTGGATTTTCACATTGTGGCAAAGGGAGTACAATTGCATGTTTCTATGCAACAGGAAAATGATTTGTTTCTATAGAGGAATTGAATATGTGTGTGATGTGGTTGATAAGATGATTTTCAAAGTAGGTCCATTATAGGTCTGAGTATATCTTTCAATAAGTATTTCATGATGATGAGACTTTGCAAGATGAATAATATTTGTGAAGTGGAAGTTTATTTTATTGAGATCTGATAAATCTGCGAAAAGGTTAGGGCTGTGTTTATTTTTCAAAATTTCCAAGTTTTCTTAGAGTACCCCTGATCAAACTGAAATTTCCGTTGGTGGTATAATTACAGAGTTCCTTATATCTCGTCCAGTCTCTATGAGATTTGTTGTGTGAGCAGTTGTTGAAAAAGTTATTTCGGAAAATCATATGCAGTATTTTATGAACTCAGTTGAAATTTAAACACATATAGATATGCTAATTGATTCATTAATTCTAAGAATGCTTTTACATTTCTTGGACAGTTTCGAATTTTGGAATAATGCCTCTCGGATTCAGTAGTCATTATATTGATTTGAATTTCACCTTTTTGTAAAATCATCATACATCAGTGTTCGAATATCCATGACTATGGTCACTTATGACAATAATCTTAATTTTTTCTTGGTGTGGCCCACTCTGTTGTTCTCCCAAATACTTCATCTATAATTTGAGCCGTCAACGTGCTCTATGAGAAATTAGTAACTTGGTAATTGTTTTTTTTTCCTTTAGATTCGTTGTAATACGAAGAAACAATCTTTTTTTTTTCTCAAAATATAATCAATTTTACCAATTCTTTGCATTCGGTAACGATGACACTATTCAAATATCGTTTTGAATGGAGATGGAGAAGAGGAAATCCGAAATTTTTCGTGAAAAGGTTTATACCACTATGTTGGTGATGATCTACCTTCATAGTAGGTAGAATTTTTTCAGGTAGAAGTTATTCAAAATTGTTTTAAGTTATGACAAATTATAATATTTCTTCAAATGAGCAGTGAATTAGTGAATAAAGACCATTTCTATTATATGGATCTTGTTCTGAAGTTTTTCTAGACTGTAAACCAAATATTACGCTGATTTGTGCAATAAAAATATCAATAGACCCAGTCGATCTTTCCATAGGCAGATGCCGCATCGAAATCTTGAGGAAAATTGGGTGGTGAATTGCAGAGACCAAATATCTCAGAAAGTAAATGTGTGGTGTGGTATCTTGAACGAAAATATTATCGGGCCATTTTTTTCCGATCAAAATTTAAACGGACGACTATTCGTTGATTTTCTCGAAAATGCATCCAACCCCGATGTGTTGGAAGAACTACCTTTGGATGTGAGACACAGCATGATTTTTCAGTTAGATGGTTCACCAGTTCACAATAGTGGCATAACAAGAATTTGGTTAAATAGGAATCTACCTATGAATTGGATAGGACCCAATAGCCCTCTCGTAGTATGGCCACCACGATCCCCAGATTTAACCCCACTGGATTTTCACTTATGGGGAAACTTGAAAAATAAAGTTTATGAGGATAGGCCAACAAATGAGGAAGATCTCCTTGCAAGAATTATACAAGCGTGTAGAGAAATCACACCTAGAGAACTGAGAAGGTTTTGAGGAAATAATAGGAGGCGCATAGAAAAATGTGTTCGATTGGATAGAAATTTCATAGAAGGCACGAACATATAAAATTGTCAACAGTTAAATCATTTGTAATTGATTGTTTTGTTTTTTAATTGAAAATGTGATTTTGAAAGTAGTACTTCGAAAGAATTTTGAACTACATAACATCTTTCGCCACAAAATATCCTTGTTTTCCTTTAAAAATGGGAAAATGAGAATATGAACTAACTTTAACCATCCTAAAACCTCACTGATTACATGTTTCCGTTCCTCTTACAAAATTACCACTTTCTCTCTTATTGAGAAGTAATAACTTTCCTGACAACAAAATGAAAAATAATCATCAATCAGAAATTGCGTTCCCTAAGTACTCTTCTACTGAATAAAAATTGATATTTACTAAGAATTATTTCATCTTGCTTTAAAAGGGATGAGATCGAGATTTCTCCATTCACGCTCATTATTTTTGCCCATTCTGAAGGACCTTTCGTGTTCAACGTACCGTTTTGAGAAAATTCGGCAACATTGTTCCATATAAACACTTTTACACTCTGAAAACTTGAGCTTATAAACTCCAGATTTTTCCATCTTGTCCGCTTCATCTTTAACATCGAAAAGGAAATTAGATAACCAGGCATGTGGCCTGAATACCACTTCCACATTTTTTTTCCTGAAAAATCTCGCAATGGGGAAAGTTCCTCCTGACGAAAATCAAGTAGTGTTTATAAGAGAGCTCTGAAACAACGCATTTTAAACTTATCATTTCGAACTTTTTGTTTAAAAACTTATTCAAATACTTAAAAAAGAAGAATGAAATAATGCATCCAACATTTGAAGGGATTCGTCTCTATTTCACCATTTGGCAACATCGGTTATAGCTAATAAAGGACAATGAATCTGTTACCGATATGAGACAAACAAAGATGACATATTTCAGAGGCGTGCTGTTCTGTTTATCTATGTTCCGAGTTCCGAGACCTATCTTCCTCTATATAAATAAATAACAAAACAACTGGTGTTTATGTGGTTTGTGGAGGTGGTTTTGAACTATAATTTATATTCTGCCTTAATTGTTGATTTATAAAGATAATTTTCCTTTTTTAAAGTAGAATATCTAGGTACGTATAAATCATTTCAATTTAATATAGGCGCTGTTGCCAATATGTGAATTAGGAACAAATGCCTTTGAAAATTAAAACCTAACATTTGAAACATCAATTTGAATACTTTTCGAAGTGGATTTGAAAAACTCATGAATTAAACTCAACTTCATTTTGTTCAAACTTGCATTTGCTGCAATAACCCAAATTGATAAACATTTCCCATTGTCCCTGTTCTTTTACAAAAATATATTGGAGTAAAATATTTTTTTTAATTCTTATCATTTTCGTTTGATCCTTCAATTACGAGTCATTCCATCTATTCCGCCTCCGAACAAACGAATGGATTCCAACGCACCATCCCAATCTCAGCGTCCCCACCACCCATCATATATTATCCCATACCAGCCGCACACTTTACGACCCCGAAGTAATAGCTGCTGGATATTCTCGAACTGCCAATCGGATGATAAAATTTCCCAATCGTCCGTGACGAGCATCCTCATAAAAAATAACCGCTCTATTATGGCACTGGCTCTAAAAAATCCAATTGTTTCAGCCTTCTGCGAACGACATCGGCGAATCTTCCAGCTCCGATCCCGACTCCATTGGCCTTGTGTCACGGTCCATCACGCTGCGCCTCCCGGTCGAGCGTAAAGGATCCCGAGGGAACGGCATCGAGATACGGTGCGAATCCGCCCTGCCTGGCGTGCCTGTAGCCAAGCAGATCACATCCCTCAACGTCCCCGTGAGGAATCCCAACGATCCGCAAATCAACAACCAAAAGTTGCACTGGTGAGTATTTGAGTGACGGCCGACCTTTTTGTTGAAGAGGGCTTGTTGGAGATGATGAGTCAGATGAGGGTTTACTTGTGTTGAATATTCAGTGGGGGGTTGTAGCGGGAAGAACTCCATGAAAGGTTCGGTCGTTAATTTTCGTCGGACAAACTAGTCTGTTGTTAAAGTTGACCTTTCTCCCGACTGGTTCGTTCTTTTTTTGGTTTTCATTACGTTCCTTGCTGAAACTAACAGAAACAGTTACCAAATCCCAATTGTGAAGTAACCCAAAACAATTATGATAAAAGGTAGACATGAAGATGGAAATCGAAGTTAGTATGATATAAAAACAGTCAGAGTCACGATTAGAAAAAAGTCAGTGAGAGTCACCTTAGAGTCCCCGTTAGAAGTCAGTAAAAATCACACTTAGAGTCAATTGAAAGGGTCACGATCAGAGTCAGTCAAAGTCATGATCAGGATGACATTAGAGTCATGTTAGCGTCAGTTAGATTCACGTTAGAGTCTCTTAGAGTCACGATTAGAAAGAAGTCAGTTGGAGTCTGAATCCGCAATGACTGAGTTAGCGATGAAATGTCGACGCAGGCATTACCATGAGGGCATACATAATATCCATTCATACTGCAAAAGCATTCCACAACGAGAAAAAAAATTATGTAGTCTTTGAAACGTGTATGGGATAATTTTTCGAAGGTAGTTGGCAAGATATTATATAAATTGATCTAGAGAATTTTCAGAAGTTTTCTGCAGATTGTACTCAGCAGATCTCTTAAAATGTCCACCACTTGTATCGTGGAAGTGGAAATTGAAAGATTGCCCTTTATTTTGTATACCTCCAGCAATGACCGAAAAATTGAAATTTATGTAAGAATTATACTATTCAAGTTTTTGAACAATGGGCGACATGTATCACGATATCCTAAATCAAAATCTATTCTTAGTGAAGGAGATTTTCCCCAAAAAAACGTTTCGTAGCTGATATGAGATTGAATAAAGGCGTACTGGGTTGCGAAAAAAGGTGTCAAGTAAAACATATTTCCACAACTGCCTCAAGAAAAATATATATTTGGATAGTTCAATATTTAATTCTTCTGTATGACAACCTACGATTGTATTTCTCTACATTTAAGTTGTATAGATATCAGTCCATCAAACACAAGGATGTTCTATGAATATCATATTGGGATGTTCCGTATATTCATAAGAAATCCGTTTCAGGTCCAACAGATATCTTATGGATATTCAAAGAATATTCGAAGGTCATTGGCTTGGACTTTCACTGGATATTTGTCCTGGACTTTCCATGGATATGGATCAAATAAGATGATCGGAAGCCACTGACCTGGATATCAGCAGTATATCCATCATTGATAGCCATATAATATCTTCGCGCTATAAAATCAGATTCCCATTATTCATTCTTCATTCATTCGAATGGATACAGAACAAAATAATATAGTCCACTCAAAAAAAGTTTGATCTCAATATTAAAAACCAAAATCAAATGAACCTATTGCAAATTTAACAGAATTAACTAAAAGGTTTTCATCAAAGTTGTGTGAAATTCATAATGCCTATCTGAATCGCTACTAGGTGAACGATAAATCGTAATGACGTCTTCTGTATCTGTAGAGTAGGGAGGGTGAGTGTAAGCCCACGCACTTAGGCCACATGTGACCCATTGTACATCCTCCCAAGGAGTTGTCCTCCTAGGTCGTCATCCATCCTGTCCTTTCCAGGAAGGTGGACAGGTCGCTGGGAGACATCTCCTTTATATCGGCAGGTGTAGGCCAACACTCGCCGAACACACACTCTCTTATTGACGATAACTCCGGGCACTCGCACAGGACATGCCATCGACAGTGAGTGTTCCTTACACCATGTTTCTATCAATTTGAGCCCATCCTGCGCTCTATCGCACAGTGTGTTTACAAATTTGCCGGTCTGCAAGATAACTATGTCATCTGCATATGCAATTGTGTAGAATCCATTTTTGTTAAGGTGATTAATTAGGGTATCCAGAACTATGTTCCAGAGAAGGGGTGATAAGGGGATGAGGGGATGTCCCTGTGGACATCCCCTCATGACCAGTCCTTTAACTGTGATGTCTTCTACATTAATACCTATTGCTCTGCTAGAGAGCATCTGGAGTATCCATTCTCCTACTACCAGGGGTACATTCCTGGAGTGTAGTTGCTGGGTAATTGTTGGAAAGGTTGTTTTATCAGACGCTCCCTCAATATCGTAATGACGTCTTATTTTCTTGTATAGCTGAGCATTCGAAGCACTCCAATAATGCTTTGACTGAAAATATCATATTTTTAAATCGTGGTTCCTTATCTTCTTTCACGAATATGGTTTTTTCAGCACGTTTGTTGATTGTTTTGAATATTTGAATGAATTTATAAAATCAATATTCTGTGCCTGATCTAGCTGTTCATGTTTTGGATTTACTTCTTTCTTAGTTCATTTCGTTATAATGTTCAGGGACTGCTATATTTCTTATAAATATATAGTGTCTTACAAATCTTCGGCTTATCCCAGTTATTCCTATCAATTATGATTCAGAAGCCATATTGACACGTCCATTACAGGCGCCCGTTTATAGTGGAGATAATACCCTCCACATCGAAGACCCTGGCTACCCGTGCCACTACTGTTTCCTCCTCGATGGTGTTGCCACCAATCTTCTAATAAGTATTCAGTTTATCCACTTGCGCTTATCGCCAATCTTTCTCCAGCTCGACGCCTGGATGGGTATTTCTCAATATTCTTCAAATGAATATTCAACTATTTCATCCGATTCTTTTGTTGTGTCCGACTACCCGAGTTCTGAAAACCTAGTTGTACGAACAAAAGAAAATAAAACAATGCGACACAACCTGAACTACGTCATAAATGTAAATTGCATCACGTTCTGCTGATGCCGCGCTTACTGCAAATAGGTAAATGTGTTAATTTTGTTTCAGGACTGGGTCCAGCGCAACCACCCGATCTCACCGGTCATTCCAGATAGCCTGGACCCTTATTTGGGTAGTGGTAGTGAAATGGAGCATGGGGATGATTTCCCAGTAAACTAGTTTTAGATTCCAGGATAACTGTACAGATAATTATGTGATGTTTGATGTGGCATGAGACAAATTGATACCCAATCACGGGGTTGAGTGGAGTCGTATTGGAGGCTTCAACTAGAGGGTTAGAGTCAGTAGTAGCAGTTTGTTCAAGGATACGTCTACAAACTAATATTGCCTGAAATACGTTTCCAGAATATTCAATTCTCAAGAAATATTAGTTTGAAAACACAGGCATAAGGAATACTTCAAAAACCTATTTCGTCTTGAAATTTCAAATGATCTTCATTTTCAAAACCCTCAATCTGTCATTGACACCAATAGTAGTACTTGGACTGGTCATAGATGCAACTTTGAATCTTTGATCCCCAATAAGACAACCGTGTGTGAAAAAACTTTCAGTTGAGCTTTTATTCAAGAGTATTATCCTTGTAGTTGAAAACAATCGAGGCTGATGGAATGTCGACTTTGGGTTGACAAATAAAAAGTAGTAATAACATTTTTTCTAATGAAATTGCAATAAGTTCATAAAATATGAATGTGTTCTTGATGATATTCACCAATAAAGACTTCTTTATCTCAAAATGTTACTTTTTGGAACCAGTTCTTGTATAGGAGTAATAACTTTGTAGTTTCAAAAATGTTTCTATGAAATTGCAATAAATTTACAAGGTATAGGTCTGTTATTGAAAATATCTAACAAGCGATATATCTTCATGTCAAAATGTTTATCAGCAGGTCCAAAATATTTCAAAATAATATTTTCAGAATTTTTTCCAACTGAAGTCTTACCACCTAACAACATTCTTTCCGGAAGAAGACCACGTAGTAACGCCTACATCCATCAATTTGTTAGACTTTTTATTCATCACTTTAGTAAAAAATGTACTCGAACAATGATCAAAATTACTAATAGGTGAAAAATAGGGATATGAAAATTGTTGCGTTCTCAATAAAATGTTTTATTGGAAACCAAAATAGTATTTCTATTTTGATAAGTCACTGGCTCATATAAATACATCATTTATAAAAATAATCATGAAATTAATCACATATGAATATACGAATTTTACCCAAATTACTTCAGAAAAAACTTTTCAACACGCTTTTATTAGCTTTTCCTATATGTTTGTTTGTAACCGACTCCTTTGGACGCCATTTTGATTAATTAGGATTAATGAGGTCTTACCTTTTAACGTGTGATTCCTAAAAAATATTGAAACAAATGGGCTTGCAATAGCAAGCCAAACTGAAAAGTGGAAAAAAAGTTCAAAAAACTGAAAAAACACGCTTCAATAGCAACACAAACTGAAAAATTGAAAATGATTCGAAACTAATTTAAGATTGTGTTTAACATCGTTTGACTTGATGTAACGGATGAGTTTTGATAAGTTTGAAATCGAAATAAATCTATTTATAAAAAAAAATTGTTGTGAAAAACCGTGGGGTGCTAAATATCCATTGTTATGAATACCTGGTTAGGAGCTGTTTGTTAGCTGTTGGAGCCAAACTAAAAATATCATTTATAGTAAGGCAATGAGGCTGCTGACTCCCTTACAAAGGAGGGTACTGCAAGTAGCTTCATCGGACCAGAACCTGTAATTGGCATCGCTTCAGGCTTTACCATCCAGGTGTTCAAATATTGAACACCTGGATGGTAAAAAGATGTATGGACTTCTGGCAGAATCTTCCAGGATTGGCTCACTTCAAGAGGTTTATTCACCGTTGGAAGCCTAATACCAAACAGTTGTTGGACTACATTAGGGATGAACTACGATGTCTAACAGGCCTTCTTACAGGTCACTGTCATTTGAATCATCATATGCAGAGACTCGGACTGTTTGGAAAATGATGAAACTGCAGAGCACATACTTTGTTCCTGCCCAGCTGTGGACCGAATCAGGTTTTAGAGTTCGGCAGAGCCGTTCTCTTACCATCTGACCTGAAAGGCCACTCACCATACAAACTAATCGGCGTCGTTGAGAAGCTGGGTTTATTTGGTCGAATGTGGATAGGTGTGAGCCACAATAGATCCTTGCGGGTTGCGGTGGAGGGTCGAATAGACCCACTCACTCTGGACTTAACCTAACCTAACCTACATCAAGCCACATGACTCATTGTCGATGTTGAACACAAACTAGAATTACTTTCGAATTATTTTTTGTTCTCCAGTATATGTTGCTATTGAAGCGTATTTTTTCGGAAGCGTGGTGTCACGCTTCCGAAAATTGAGATAAAAATAATTTTTCAGAGTGGACCTGTTGAAGATATGCCAAATACCCAATTAAATCAGGAGAATATCCAATAGAAATGGAAATATCTAATAAATTTTTCAGTTTTATTGGTGTACAAATGAATTGATAATAATTTCAAAAACTACACCTCACGATTTGATCTCCACAAACTTTATTTGAGAAATATATCACGACATGTTTCGCGAAGATCAGTTTTTTCAGCCATATTTGCCATATTAGATCATATTGGCATATGGTCAAGTAACGGCCGAATCAATCAGAGAATTGATGATATGTAGTTATAAGAGTTCATTTATAGTCACATTCAGATAATTATTCACCTTGAAATAAAATCGTATAAATATAAATGATTGAGCTTTGATAATACTTTAAATACTTTGTATTATTCCTGAATTCATATGCAGTCTTAAGACTCAGAATATTCTTACAATGAAAATTCATACACACTAAAATGCCTTTTCCCATGAGGTTTTGTGGAATTTGAGGAAATTCAATTAGTGAGTATCGCCTTTGAAATTGAGAACCACCAAATTGTCACTAATGTTTTAGTTGATATACTATTACATTATTATTCCAGGTGAATATGAAGACTCCTCACTTTTGAACATGGAAAAACTGTACTAAATTGTTAGTTACGATATTCTGTGAAATTACATCTGATCAAAATGTAATGAAATGTTTTTTCGAAGATTCATAAACGAAGTTCATAAACGGTTAATTAAACAAACCGAATTATGATTACCACCTGAATTAAACACAAAATAAAAAAAGAAGTTCATGCTGCTGTAGTTTTTATTCAAATGCATTGTTTTGTTTTTTAATTTTTCTTTTTTTGTTTGCCAATGTATGCAAATTGAGACCCACATGCAAAACTTTCTCTGTCACTTGGCTCTTATGATAATTGTAGCCTTTCATTCCATATCATCATTTTACTAAAAGTCGTCTATTGAAATAACTATTTCCTCTTTCATTCACCAAGTTCAAAACTGGGAATAAAATCAAAATCATTGTTTTAAAAATATTGTGGTTTCCTAGCAATAGTCAAAGATTGTCTTGGAAATGAAATAAAAAATTTGATGGGTTTACTATTCTCTGTAGAAAAAAACAGTTATTTCCAAAAATTGTTATTCTACAATTGGCAGTAAATTTTTGAAAGATCATCGAATTATCTGAGAGTAATTTATAAACATTTCTCATGTTATAGTTCTTGTTGTATTTCAGTACAAACAAAATTGATATTCTGTCAATTTTCAGAGTTGTTTTTCAAGGAATACAGTATCTGATATTATTCTTTGAATTTTCATCGTGAAAATGATTTGTATACTGCGTTTCTTCGACATAATTTTCGAAATAAAGTTTTCAATTCCATAATATGTTTTTTGAACTCAAATCAAATTAATATATTTCATGAAAGTGTTCTACTTTCAAGTGTGTCCTATTATCTAGAGAATCTAAAAATTCAAATAATAGAAAACAAACTCCATCATCTTTCGAAACATTAAATAATCAGGTGCGATCCATTAAAAAATTGGGAGTAAATGTAGATAGGTAGTGATGAAAATTTCTGTTTCCATTTATTATGAGAAAACAATATGAAATATATAGTTCATTTTGATGTTTCTGATGTATATTTCAACAATACATATTATTGAACAATGCGTATTTTCAAATATTACTTATAATGAAGAGGGCATTCGAAATTGACTTCAATTTTGCTGGTGAATCATATCCTTTCATAGATGATATCCTGCTTACTAACACTCGAATGCGAATACCGAAACGTTATTTCGGTTTCTCTAGTTGACAGTTATTTTCCATCGTTGATAATATCATTTTCTGTCTCGTGTCACTCAGTAAGAGATTAAAGATACATAAAAAGTGGGTCTGTGTAACTCCCCGACCAAGATGTCGAAAATTCACTTGAATGAATTCTTATATGTTCTAATTACATTTTTTCAAACAAAAATCAAATGGGAATGGAGAACATCCAAGAAAGATATATACAGGGGTTATACAAAATCCACCCGCAATTCGGTAATTTAATGTTGATGTTAAGACTAGCATAGAAGTATTGTATTGCTCATTTTATATAACTAATTCACAATTGTATTGTTAATATTCGAACCATCCAACTTTTTGGTCTAAATAATTGAATTACTGGGGTCAAGCTATGCAGCATTGTCATACACATTCATTTCATTTTTCTTGAAGTTATTAAACCACTTTGTTGGTTGGCTTTTCAGTCGAACATCAATAGAATTGCATTATTTCTATTGATTACATGATTACTCGATTCAATTGAGATAAATGTAAGTAAAAAATTGTGAGATAGGTTTGGAACCCTTGCGTTTCAGAAATGTATTTAACTAACTTCCATTGCCTGAACTGTAAATGTTCAAAACCAAATTATACAAACGATTTGAATACAACTTGAAAAATATTTTCATAGACAGTTCAGTCGTAGTTCAGAAGCCTTACCGGCAATCACACATATCTCATGACGTCACACTAGTTCTCGACAAACGCGCAGTTTCCAAATCGCGCATTTTGCTACAAGCAAATGCTGTCGATTTAGAATTTTTGTATTACGGATGACAAACACTAGCAAAATATGAAAAAGACACAACATTTTATTCAACCGAACCTATTGCAATTCAAATTGGAGGGGTCATATTTTTATGAGAGGTTAATTTTTGGAAAAGTTACTTCTTTCCATGATCTTACCAAATCTTGGTATAGAGTTACTTTTTTTTATTGATTGCTTCCTCAATTTCTTTGGGAGAGTTCCTTTCCTTGTATCAAGATGGAGAAGTAGAAGGCCAAAAACTTTCCCAAACATCAACCCGTCTTAAAAATGTAACCCTTTATATTCAAACAAGATTTCTTTGACTGGGATTTAATGAAATAAACGAAAGAATGTCATTACGCACTGTCATCGATGGCATAAGTAGATTAAACTCTTCTCGTGACATAAAGTTGTAATTTTGTGAATAAAATGAATGTTTTTTTCCATAATGTTATCCAGATTTGGTACTGAAGAGCTGATAGAGCAAAGGTCTTACTGCGAAATATCGAATGACTACCATTGAGGATGCCAGTGTTCCATGTAAGTGAAATTTTACTTCATTCATTCACTATATTGTGTAGGAATCCTGTGAATGATATCTGATTCAATTCCATAATGAATGTTTGGAATATAAACTGAGTAGAAAAAGATGTTTTTAT